TTCCAGTTCAAGGCAGTTTTATCTGCGTTGAAAATATGTTGTTTAATGTAGCTACCTTCCTCAATTAGCTTAGCAAGAACTTCTGGATAATTGCTTCAGCTTCTACATCAGCACGCGCTGCTTCATCTTGCACTTTTATGTTATGGAAGCAGCTTCTTAAACTTCATGAACCAACCCCTGCGAGCTTCATACTTTTCTTTTGCGATGTCCTCACCTCTCTTCATAGAATTGAAGGACCTCGCTCTGGATTAGGCTTTGGCTTAAAGGAATGTTGTGGCTGGTTTGACCTTCTATCTAGACCACTAAAACTTTTTCCATATCAGCAATAAGGATGTTTTTCTTTCTTATCATTCATGTGTTCACTAAAGTAGAATTTTTAATTTCCTTTGAGGACTCTTCCTTTGCATTCATAGTGTGGCTAACTTTGGTACAAGAGGCCTAGCTTTTGGCCTGTCTTGGCTTTCGACATGCCTTCCTCACTAAGCTTAATCATTTCTAGCCTTGATGTAAAGTGAAAGACATGAAGCTCTTCCTTTCACTTGAACACTCAGAAGCCTTTGTAGGGTTATTAATTGGCTTGATTTCAATATTGTGTCTCAGGGAATAGGGAGCCCCGAGGAGAGGGAGAGAGACAGAGACAGAATGTTTGGTCAGCAGAGCAGTCAGAACATATACAACAGTTATTGATTAAGTTTGCCATTTTATGTGGATGTGATTCATGTTACCCCAAAATAATAAATAACATCAAAGATTACTGATCACAGATCACTGTAACAGATACAATAAAAATGAAAAAGTTTGCAGTATTGAGATGATTATCAAAATGTGACAGAGACACAAGTGAGCACATGATTTTGGGGAAAATGGCCCTAATAGACTTGTACAATGCAGAGTTGCCACAAACCTTCAATTTGTAAAAAATGCAATATTCGCCAAGTGCAATAAAGCGAAGCACAGTAAAACGAGGTGTGCCTTTATATCAGTAGCAGTGATCATCCCCTATTTCTTACTAGCTTTTAGATACCAGAAAGCAATGAATTATGAACACTTAGATCTTCTGTCAAGGTTTTAAAATTTAAAATCTTCAGTCATATCTTCAAAGGTTTCATATGAAATATATTTTCCAAATTATGACTTTTAAATCACAGATAAAGGAATACGGCAGGAATTCATTAGAGGGGAAAAAAGTGGTAATATCTGCCAAAGTATTGTGTTGCGAAGGAACAGAAAAAAAATTAGAATCAAAAAGATGTATCCTCTTGGTCAAAAATCATGTAAAATTTTTCAACCAGAAAAAAATACATTTTTTAGGATTCAGTATGGATAAAATATATTACCTGTGTATAATCATTTGGAATTCATTGAATTGTAAGAGACTTTCTTTGATAGGGCATTAAAAGTACTGAACTGTCAAAAGCGGTGCATATGAAGGGTATTAATATAGTTATTTTCTACATGTAAACTCAGAAGTTACCATGTTGATGTTTCCTGTATTTTGAAAACAGCTTTAATTATATTGGTGTTGCATTGACCCATATAATTTAACTAGCAGTCATGTGTGCCTTTCCATTTTCACAGCTACGTACTGTCTTTGTCCCTAATGTTCATTTCTTTATGCCTGATTATTTCATCAGTTTTTTGTATTGTATTTGGCTCCAACACAAGAGCACACAGTGCTTAGATTGTTTAGCTTGATGGAAGACTTTCTTCTATTAGTTTTGCACAGTTTAGCAGTTATGTCGCTTCTAATCCCTGCACAGGCCCTTCGCATTCATCCACCATATTCCAGGCTCTAGCCCTAAGCTCAGGGCCCTTCTGTTTGCCAGTGTGCATGTTTTGTGTCCTTTGAAACCGTCTCACAGTTCACCTCATTACTATGCTTTGGTTTATACTTCATCAGTTTGATACTTATTTGTCAAGTGAGCGTTTGTCCTCAGTAGGAATATAGGCAAGGACAGTGTTTTCCACGTCTTTTATTTCCCTTCGAAATACCTAGTTTGAGTGTTAAGACTTTAGATTAAATTATTATAGAAAATAGAGAACATACTATATATAAGTATACAGACGGTGCCCGACTTAACAATGGTTCAAAAGCAATAGCTCCTCTACTTGTGATGGGGTTGTAAGTTGAAAATATTTTAAGTTGCTTCACAGTACTTTCAACTTGTGATGGTTCTATTGGGATGTAACCATATTGTAAGTTGTGGAACATTTGTATTTAGAAAAAATCATTCTATAAGCTTTCTTGGTAACCCATTCTAATAAAATAGCAAATTAAATTATTGATGTCTATCTTGAGTTCATGATATAGCAGTAAATCTAAAAAAAACCTTTTCTATGTAGTAACGGAGAATAACTGATTTATTACTGTCTTCAATTACTAATTAGTCACATTGATTGTCCCTGATGTATGTGACAGCATGTGAGTTTTCATCCATGTGGTACCTATTTTTTACAAAGAGAATAAATCTAATTATGTGCGTTTAAAATTGATTTTTCACACTGTAAGAAAAGTATTAGTCCTTTCAAATGTATTTCAAATTGTAGTTCAAATTTTTTCCATTAATGGAAGAAAGCACACTTTTTTGTGCCCAAATCATACAGAAGAAATCTTACAAATACCCCATCTTCTCTTGCTTTGGTTTTTTGAAGGTGCCACATGTAAACTTGTGTCTAACTCCAAATTTTGGTTATTGATAACAAAGTAGAAACACTATGATAGGATTTAGTAGGCTCCATGTCCCATGAGGCAGGATGGGTGTAACTGATTATCTTTCCATCTGCAGCATTCATGATGTGCCATTCTCCAGTTCATTAGCCATACAGGAGGGCTAAGAGTTTAGTGAATTGTTTATAAGCAGAAGCCATCCATAATCCAAATGGAGAAACCACATGTTTTTAGGACCATATGAGATTGTAAGCTTTGTGTAGGAAGCACCCTAAATGTAAATTAGATTCCTGCTTGTCATTTTATGTAGCACTTTGGAATGCAAAAGCTTCTTACTGGTTCAGACCATTGTTTTATTGGTTATTTTTTGGTTTAAAGTCCTCAATAGCTGATGGTGATACGTACTATGAGAAGTACTATCACTTAACATTTTTTCATGTTGTTATAGTGGACTTCTGTTCATATTTGTGCAAAATAGCTATGCTATTGTCATCCAGTTGGAATGCATTAATGTGCGCTTGATTGGGCTCTTACATTTTATTTCTTTGAGGTGTAAAGTCTGTGTTTGTCTTTGTTAAAAAGCCCTTATGTGTGCAGTGATTTTTGGATGGCATATAGTGTGACTTTTTTTTGTTGCTATTTATTCATTTTTGCACTTGGTGGTTTAAGACTTAGAATATTGATTCTTGAACTCAGATTTCAGTTTTTTGATTATCATAGTGCATGTGTGTGAGAAGAGTGTGTACTTGGTACGTGAGCATAATAATTTAGAGAATGAAATTGGGAGGTATCAAGTCTAGTGGATGAGATTCTTTTGCCATACCCTAAGATTGTCTGCACTAAATGTAAACAGGGACTTGTGTCATTTTGTTGTAAATCAGAAAGCTGAAATACAATTGATTGCATTATACAGTGGCTGGAGAAAGACTATTGTCAGGGGAAGTTTACACGATATGGGACCTGGGTATAAAGGGGAATCTGAGAATACAAACTTGTCAGTGTTTATCCAGCACCGTCCAAAGAAGAAAAAGGGACTGAACCTGATATTTGTGACTAGCAATCATTAGAGAAACATTTGATGTGGTTTATTTCTTATCTTAATCCACTAGCTTTCTTTTCCCACTATGCTATCAAAACAACTTTCATCAAGGTCTCTAAACTCAGTAGACGCATGTGTTCCTCATCCACATGACCTCGGTGCAGCATCAAAGTTGACATCTTCCTCCTTCCTTTTCCCCTAATGTGTCTCTTTGTTTCCTTCTGGATCTTTTTCTGTACATTCAGTACAATTTACAAAATTGGTATTGTACCATGTTTATGATTTTATATCCTGTTTGACACATTGTATTTTCACATGAACTTTAATGCCCATTATATGTATATAATCTTAAACTATAAAAGATTATCAAAAAAATGCTCATTTTGAGAACTTACTGCCATAGTATAACATGTTAAAATCATGTTTTGGAATTTTTGTAAAGAAAGGGAACAGTAGACAAAAGTCCTATAGTTTTAACAGATTAGTTGTAATCTAAAGTCTACAGATGGGAAATATTTAATATTATTGGAATGAACCAGGAGAATATGACCTTAGTCAAGTCATTGGAACCTGTTCCTCTCTCTCTTTTATTTATTTTTTTTGTCTATAAAGTAACAGGGTCACATTGTGATCTCTTCCAGTGTAACATTCTGTGACATGAATTAGTATATGCTGAAAAGTCTGCATCGGATTGTTCTCTGAACCATACTAGTTTGCTCAGCAGCAGCTGAGATTATTATAGATTATAGTATATATACATATTAAAATTAATTTTTAAATTGCCCTCTTGACTGCTTATTAAATTGTTTATGATGTGGCATAGTTTTCCTTCTAGTGTATCTAAATGCCTGTCTTGTGAATTTATCTAATTTTGTATTTGTTTATATAGACTATAGAGCCTATAATAGCTGTAGTAAATGATTTTTATTTGCATTTGAAAGAATCTCTTCCATAGTGATTAATGATTGTGAAGCCATATTTTAAAATATGAATATGAATACAGAAGAGTACAGAGTTGTGAGAAAATTCATATATAAGTAATGGTATATTCAATTAAAAATACTCCCTATAATGATGTGCTAGCAAATTGAAGTTTTATATCTTTTCTCCATTGAATTCAGCAGCTTTTGATACTAAGTCTTTATGCCTAATGTGAGTTTTGAGTCATTTATTTTAGTTCAAATTGTGTATTAGTAGGGACATTGAGAAAATTATTCCACCAGTGCATCCATTTAGTTAAGAATCAAGTCACACATTTTATTTACTTAAACCCATCTGTACTTGTTTTACCAGTAACATATTTGGTCTGCGGCCTGTGGATTATACAGACAATGAAAATATGAAATCACTGTTGCTGCTCCCAGAGAAGAATGAATCATCCTCAACTAGCCATGGCTTGGTTGTAAGTATGGGTTTAGCTTTGGGACATTTATATCTTTTATTGAAATTGGTTATGAAAGGAACATAATGGAAAAATTTCCAGTTAGCAAATTGCTTTCATTCACCAAACAATTATTGAGCACTTCCTGAGTATTAGCTGCTGTGGATTCAAAGACATAATCAGAATAAGACTATCAAAAAATACTTACTGAGCCCCCTCATATTTTAGGCAGCATTCACACAATGAATGTGACTGATAGAACTCTTATTGTCAAGGATCTTACCTTCCATTGAGAGATAGGAAAGAGACAGACTATAAATATGTAAACTAATATAAATGAAATAATGTCAGGAACTTACAAATGAGTGCTTTGAAGATTTTGTAGAGTGTAATTGGGTGAGGGTGGTGGGCTCCTGAAAAGGCACTGCTTTAGCTAGGGTCAATGAGGGCCTTTAAAGTTTGGAGTTGACTTAAAACCTGAATTCAGGGAAGAGGCATCCAGGTGACCATCTGGAAGACACAAGTACATAGGTTCTTCAGTGGATGAGTTTGGCATGTTTGAATGTTGGAAAGAAGTTCATTATTGCTGGAAACCAGAGAGTATATAAGAGTAATGGGAAACCATTGAAAGGACATAAAGCAAGGGAAGTACATGATTTGATTTTTGCTGTAGAGAGCTCACTTTGGCTGCTTTGTGAAAAAGGGACTGTGGGGGTGGGGGCAAGAGTGGAAGCAGAGAGAACACTTATTACTGTGTCATTGTGACAGAAGAGGGATGCTATCGTGACCTGGATTAAGGTAGTAGCAGTGGAGATTGTGAGAAGTAATGAGGTTTATTATATATTTTTGAGTTAATATCAATAGGACTTTCCGGTGGGTTATATATGAGATGTGGGAAAGAGTGGAATTAGTATGACCATAGCAATGAAGTAGATGGTGGTGCCATTTGCTGCCGTGGGGAAGGAAATCAGTAATTTTGTATGCCAGTTTTATGTCTATAAGACATCGAGGACATGTTGACTGAGTATTTGGATATGAGTCTGGAGCTTAGCAGAGAGGTACAAGCTAGAGATAAAGTAGAAAGAATGTCTACTCCTTAGGAACCCATAGCTTAGTGGGGAATACAGATGTAAAAAGTTATACTACACATTGTAATAAATTTATAACAGATGCCATGAAAATGTACAATAGAATTATAGAAAAGGACAAAGCTAACATCAGGAGGTATTGGGGAGAACTTCACAGAGAAGCTGACAGAGAAAGGGTCTGAGTCTTTAAGGGTAAAAGTTTTAGCAAGATATTTAGTAGAATGCTGTTGGCTGCAAATAACAGAAAACCTTCTCTCAAATGCTTAAGGACAATTGATTATCTTATATAAAGATAATCCGAATGTGGACTGTCTCTGCATTTGGTTAATTCAGTTATTAGTGGCTGCACCAAGGACCCAAATGCTTTCTGGTTTTTTACTTTGCCATCCTCAGTTTGCTGACTCTGTTCCCACTAATCCCCCTTTAGTGGTTATGAGATGATTGCCGCCTTTTCAGATGTGGTAGTGGCTAGCTCAAAAAGAGGCACTGAAGCCTTTCCCAGAACTCTTGCCATGGAATTCGTCTATGTCTTATTGGTCAGAACTGCTCACAAATTGGCTTTTACATACGCTGGTTCTAGAAATAGTGTTAGTCTTTAAAGGGTGCGTACCTGAACAAAATTGGGCTTCTGTTTGTGTGGAGGAAGTGAGGAATGGATTTTGAGTGGATAGTAAACATTGCCTACTGAAATCAGGTATACAAAGTGGGGATGCCTGTCCAAATCGAAGCAGCAGCTGCTCAGAGAGAGACAAGGAGGCATAAAGGACCTTAGAAATTTGAGAAACTGTAGACTTCAGTGTGAGAGGAGTATGAGGTGTGTAAGAGAATTCAGGGTAAAGAGCTAGGTTGGGATCAGATTGTGAAAGGTCTTGAATTCCCTGATAACGAGTTTAGACTTAATGGGGCACCTTCAGTGAGTTTTTAGCTGAAATGGGACTGTCTGGAGGATAGTTGGAAGTGAGAAGAGACTGAAGGCTGACTGGGAGGCTGCTGTAGTAGAGTCCAGGTGTGAAATGGTCAAGACTGGAATTTCAGGTGGTGGCAGTGATGTGAGGATGGAGAGAAGAGGGGTTTTAGATGGAGAGTTGTAGGCTCAGTGTATTTTAGTGACTGCTCAGATGTGGGAAAATAAGAGAAAGGGATGAGCTGAGGTCAAGGGCTCTTCACAGGAGACTTCTTGTCTAGTAAGGGCAGTGGAGTAGGGATTGGTGTCATTTAAGATAAGGAGGGTAGCCTAAGGTAGTTAACAATTTGATGCGGTCATGGGTGCTATTATGGGCTGTAGTTACTTTTATACCTTGGAAACCCTTTATCTCCTGCTTTAGACTTCAGCCTCATAAATGTGCTCCAAACTATAGTTTTGGTAGTGAACTGGAAGAGAACCTGGAGGTCAGCAGTTTAATTTTCTCATTTTACAAATGAGAAAACTGAGACCTAGAGAGGTTGTGAATTGCCCAGGATTATTAACCAGCCATAACAATTTTTTTTAATGAACTACTTAGAACTTTCTTAAGTCTTAGGTTAGTAACTCATTCAGTCCCACCATACTTAGCAACTATAAATTGATATGTATTTTATTCATTTGTACTTGAATTCTCCTTGCAGAACATAGCATAACTAAGTTGTCATTTGCCAATGTTCCTTTTCTGTAAAAGTTGGATAAAGATTATTTTAAACATGTCAGAAATAAAGATATCTTTATGGTATTCTTGGAGTCTGAGGATGATAATGCTCTTGAGAAGAGAAGGATTTTTATTAAATGTAAGAAAACTATACGTTCTGCATGTCATATGGACATGGCTTATGAGTATCATTATTCACTGTCATAATGGTTGATATTTAGCTAAGGAAAAGATAAGGAATGACATCAAGACCTTCTAAGTTGAAAGGGGAGCTGCTTTCAGTGCAATCCTTGAGGTGTACACTCTGGGACCTACCTTCCCCATCACTACCAAACTCCTCTTCACTCACTCTTTTTCAGCCACATGATCCATCTTGCTGTGTCTTGAGTCCACCAGACATGCTCCCCTTTCAGGTCCTCAGCACTAGCTCTTTGCTCTACTAGGAACAAACGTGGGGAGCCAGATGTTCCCCAGGGTCTGCTTTCTTACGCCGTTCAGACTCACCTCCGGTGTAGTCTTAAAAGAGAGGCATCTTGTGCCAGTGTCTATTCGGTAGCAACCTCCCAGTGCTGCTTAGCCACCTTCCCTGCTTTGTTTTACCACACCACTTGTCATCTGGAAATATATATATATTTCCCTCTCAACTGGAGAATAAACTCCTTGAGGGCAGGAACCAACTCTTTGTTTACTATAATAGCCCTGGCATCAAGAACGGTGTCTGACAAATAGCTGAGTGCTCGGCAAGTGCATGTTGACTGCGTGAATGAGCACTGGAGTGTCCTGTTTGATCTATGCATGTCCCTGAAACAAGCACAGGTGGTTGGCACCTGAGTCTGGAATCCTTTAAGTCTGTGATTTCCAATTCTGAGGAGCTGCTTCAGGGAATATCATGTAAAAGGGAAGGGGTGATAATTAGGTGGGGTTCTATATCCCATTTAGAACTTTTGTTTAAGTAAAGATTAATGGCTATTGGAAAGCACTGCTTTAAATTTGAGAAGCAACCTGTAATCTTAAATTCTTAGAAAGCTGCTTACCATGTTCATTTTGGGATTTTTCTGCCGTTAATCCCTTTTGAGCAGTATGTTTATTCTTTTTATTTTTTCCAGAATTTTTAACCTCATGTTTGTTACTTGTTAAGAATAATAAAGTACCATATTTAGTTATTCTTTAAGTAAGAGTTTACTTAATGCCAGTGAACATAATATCTTATCTATAAAGTCAGAGTATGGAACTCTTGGAATGTTTTTTGAACCTTTCTTTAGCTTCATGGTTCTGACACCTCTGCTTATTCAAATCACATCCCTAGCCCCCACCCCATCCCAAATTAGACATGTGGTTTTGGCAGCTGTTTGCTTTATGTACTCTTGGAATGTTTTTTGAACCTTTCTTTAGCTTCATGGTTCTGACACCTCTGCTTATTCATATCACATCCCTAGCCCCCACCCCATCCCAAATTAGACATGTGGTTTTGGCAGCTGTTTGCTTTATGTTTATTATAGCATTCCTTAACTGTGAGAAATTAGTGCTAGTTTCTATTTTTTATGCAAATTAAAAAACTATGATAGGAAAATGCTTGACCCAGTTGCTTTCCTTGGGTTGGTGGAAATAGTATCATATACAATATTTAGAAATGATATCTTTCACTCTTGTATTTTGTGCAGAGAACTAATTTAGCTGAAGTGTAGTTATATAAATTGAGAAGTAATGTTTTCTATTTAGAGCTATTTTTTATGGCACTTATTTGTATAACCGGCAAGACTTTTCGAAATACTGTTTTTTAATATCATCATATAGTAATTGAATAATTCCTAAAACATGCTAAGTTATTTTCATGTTATGGTGTGTTTACAGCATTTAGGTTAGACATGGTTACATCACCTTATAATTTAGTGTCTAGGAAAGATACATACACAGAAATGTGACTGTAAATATGTGTATGGGCATATGTAGCATGTCCAGTAAAACCTTTGCTACCCGATTCCTAGAAGAATAAGTAATTCCGGTAGTTGAATTTTTAGGTGCTGAATCCTATCATTTAAAAACACTTATGGAAATCTTTTAAAAAAAAAAAAGTTTTATATACTTTATAGCGGACTCTAGTATATTTAATGTATATTGAGATCAATCTGTTTATAGGTGTAATCAATGATTTACAAGTAATATATGTAGGACCTCGGACTGAATGAATTAACACCACTCTGATATGTGAAGTGGATATTTAAATATCAACTCTCTCCCGTCTATTTGCTGAACTATACTGGTGGTCATTCCTTCAGTGTTTCCCTTGTGTTCTTTGGAGCTTTTGAAAGCCTAGCTATTCTGTATATATATGTACTCATATTCATATGCAGGCCTCTGTCTGTGCTTGAAAATGACAGTATTATGTGTGGCTTTTTATCCTTTAATACAGTAGTGCTTAATGACTTTTTCTTTGCTGGATCATTGCTTCTCTTTTATCAGATAGCTTTTGGCTAACTCTCATTCAAATTCCATTTGTTACATTTCTGTTGGCTGCTATTTAGCTACTGTCCCATTGGTTCTTTGAATCTTTCATCTCTAATCTTTACTTCTGTCTACCGGTGCCTTCTATTTATTTTGTCTTTTTTGTCTTCTAAATGTAGATATTAAGATAAAAAATTAATCTTAGAGTACTTCTTTCCTTTTTGTGAGCTGTATGGATTTCTGTTTGTAGATCTGATCTTCTAACTTTTGAATCCTCTTGTCTGTTTTCATTTTTTCTTGGTTTTTGAGAGATTAACTTCTTTGATGATAGAAGTTTGTTTTCTACCTTTGGGGTCAGGGCTGTTCTAGAAATTTTAGAGTTCTTTGATTTTTCAGATAATGTCAGTTTAAACTAAACAGGCCAAGTTTGAGTTTAACTATTGGGATAAGTTAAACTTAGAGGAGCTAAACTAAATAAGTTAGTGGAGGAGGGTAGAGAATTGGTCATCTTAAGTGGATGTTTTGGGTTACTTTGGTGGGGTGAGGCTTATTGGTGACAGAATTAAGTTGTAAAACCCTGGAGAGACCCAGTTTAGAATCAAGGGAAAAAGATGCTGTGGGTATGGAGTTCTATTCCAACTAATGTTTTCTTGGGGGAAAATAAAGAAATAGAAAAATAATTATTCAAATACATTGAGCATCAAAGCTCTGAGTGCAGATTTGATACAAATTATTGAGAATTATCAGAGTAAGCAAAGTAATGAAATTCAAGCTTGAATCATGTGAAGGTCTGTTTAATGACTTTCTGTAGTCCTTAAATGTTTATAATGCTGTGGCATCTCCTTTTTCATTAACAGATGAACACCGGGCAGCGTAGGGATGGACCTCTTGTACTTATAGGCAGTGGGCTTTCTTCAGAACAACAGAAAATGCTCAGTGAGCTTACAGCAATTCTTAAGGCTAAAAAATGTGCTGAGTTTGACAGTACAGGTGAGGATTTGTGGGGGGAGGGTGGGGTCGATATTTTTTAAATAGGTAATCCGTTTGGAGAACTCCCTTTAATAATTTATATGTTGTAACCATTAGGATATGGCTATATTCTTTGCATCTTATAATAAATCTAAAATATTTTTACAGTAATAAATTACTTATAGGCTTAATGTAGTTAGGAAACACAAAGTTTAAAGCTTTGCACATATTTTAGGACAGAACTGCCAGAAGAACAGATTTATGAATTTTAATGACAAATAAATTGTATTACAATGTAATGCCATAATTCCTGTTATAATTTGAAAATAAAAGACAAATTTGTGTTTCCTAATGTGACTTTAAGATATATGGCTTATGATCTGATTTTTCATGTTGATGGCAGGTTAGAGAATGATAATAAATAAAACAGGTCATATACTTAAATGTAAAAATTGCTGCCTTTGGGAAAAAAATTCAGATATAAATTTATAAAACATAAACTAACTGGCTGGTTAAAGAATTATTTTGGTTTATTTCTCAATTTCTCTTACTGCATTTTTGTATTCTAGTAACTCATGTCATTGTTCCTGGTGACACAGTTCAAAGTACCCTGAAGTGTATGCTTGGGATTCTGAATGGCTGCTGGATCCTAAAATTTGAATGTAAGTAATGGATTTGGGAGAATTACATAATGAATTAAACTAGTTTAATTTTTCTTTTGTGCATTACTGCCCATAATTATTTAAGGAACTTGTGCTAATTTTCTTACCTCTCATTAGTCACTACATTTCAGAAAATCTTCTCTTGTTAAATGGTATCATTTTGATGTTCTTAGTAAATGTCTGCAAATATGTTCTGGTTTTAAAGTGGTTTATTTTTCTTTCTTTTTTAAAAATAATGCCAACTATTTTAATAAAGACCAAATGGAATATGTAGTAGATTTTCAAGCCCTAGCAATCTCTATTACTGTTAATGATATATTTACCTTAATAAACAAGTTTTAAATATACTGCATGACAGGTCTATGAAATGAGAGTAGTTTATTGCTTTCCCAAAACGATTTGCAAAATATTACTTGCGTTAACACCCTTTTGCTCTCTTAGCTAATCCAGTATTTTTAGGCAGCTGTTGGGATATTTAGACTGTCTTGTACTACTTGATTTGGGGACCACCCCCACCCATTATTCTCTCAGCCTCCACTGGAAATGTGTCTTTATTCCCCACTTCTCTTTGGTGATCACATGCCACCACCTTCAGAGCTGCCTTTCTCCTTCCCTGCTGTCACTTGTTTGTTTTTCTTAACCTTGGATTCATTTAGGACTTAAAATAAAAAGAAAGCCCACACACAGTTACTTCCTACTCCTCAACAGATAAAGTACCTACTTTCGATATGATGGCTAAAATAGGACAGTTTTTTAAATCTAATTTTTGAGAAAAGATTAGTGGCTACAAAGGAGTAACACAGGGAGTCTTATGATGATACAGTTGAGTTTCTTGATCATAGTGGTGGTTACCTTACACAAGGCTACATGTGATAAAATTACATAGCTCTGCATACACAAAGATTAGTGGCTACAAAGGAGTAACACAGGGAGTCTTATGATGATACAGTTGAGTTTCTTTATCATAGTGGTGGTTACCTTACACAAGGCTACATGTGATAAAATTACATAGCTCTGCATACACACACACACACACACACAGAAATGAGCGTGTTTATAATTGGTGAAATCTGAATTAGCTCTGTGGATTGTAGCAGTCAATTTGTTGGTATTGTGCTATAGTTATATAAGATGTTAACATTGGACACTGGAGAAAGGGTACATTAGACTTCTCTGTACATTTCTTTGCAACCTCCTATAATTATTTCAAAATAAAAAGTTAAAAAAGAATACTGGGTGTATTTAATGAAACTTTTCTTTTTTAAGAAGCAAATGATGGATTAAAATTAGTTTTTAAAAACTAAGATTTATGGCTTTGTGCTTTGAAGGTTTTATAGTAGAATGCTTGATTTATCAAGATTTTAATTGTATTATTAATTTCATCTGTAGTTTAAGGTTGGTTTGGTTTGTAAAACAGTTTCCTTTCAGTAATTGGTATTCATGTCCCTTCTAAATACAGCTACCACTTCTTGTGATGCTGGTCTCCACTGATATAGTCAGATCAGCCAAGTGGCAGTGCCACTATATCATTTCTCATCCATCTCTGTTATTAGTCCCTTCTAGTCATGGCAGTTCGAGAAGTATGACAAGTAATTGGACCGATTGACTATTTACATAGGATAAAAAAAAGTTTCTCTTTTTGTCTCATTTATTTTTGAACTTTCTTTTTCCTTTTTATGGTAAATCTTATTGGGCTTCAATGTTTAAAAGACTACTTTTAAATGGTTCCATGATTATGGATGCTTTTGTACTGAATCTATGCCAGAAACCTTGTCAGTAGTTACAGAAAGAAATAGATTTTCATAATAATGTCTCAGTAATAAAGGAGCCCTGTGAAATTGTGTATGTTAAGACATTTACCACTTAACTTTGAGTCTAGTTCTTCTGAATTTGCTGAACTGGCATTTGGTTGCATATACAGGCTACATGATTCATTTCCATAAAAATCTGCCTTCTTTAAGAAATGTAAGTTTTGTCACTTTAATGGCTTGGCCATGTCATTTTTATAGAAACACTGATGGACTCAAGCTGACTTAATACTGTGCCATTTGGTGATTCTCTCAGTAGAGAATAACCTCCTCTAATATCAATGATTCTTTTAGAATAGAGGATAGATAGAATATCTTATTGAAGTTCATATCCTTATATTTTCTAATACAAGTATTGTATTAGAGAAATGGAGTCAAGGTTTGAGACAATTACTTTAAATAAATAAATAAATATTATAAATCTTTAAAAAATGCAATTCTGCATCCTCATTCTTCACCTCACTGTGAAGGGGAGAGCAAATGGCTGTCATCTTTTCTTTAACAATCTCTCCCTCTTCTCCACTCTCATTTAATTTTAAATAAAAATTGCAGCTGTAGAAGTTTTAAAAGTCTGGGTACCTAAGGGAACTGCTTGGGGAATGTACCAGACATTTTATATTGGACTGTTTCTGTGAAGTGAGGAAGAGCCAAAGGGTCTGTTTTTGTTGGTTTTGTTTTAGTTGAGGAGAGGTGGACCCTGGAAGACAATCATTACTTTATCAGTTTATAAATAACCTCAGTCAGGCTAACAGATTTTTCCTTTTCTATTAAAATTTGTTTCTTTAAATGAATTTTGAGAATACTGTGGAATTTGAAAATAAATGTAATTTTTATTCTATTCAAACTTTGCTAATTATCAAAAAAGGTGAATAAAAAGCAAAAGGTAACAAAGCATTTCTGTAAGATTGATTAGGCAACTTTATGCATACAGAAGGCTTCCACCAAAAATTCTCTACTAATAAAAAAAAAAAATCCTTTGATATGGTAGTCCCGCTTCTTGAAAATTTACCCTAAGCAAATAATATAGGTGAAAGAAAAAAGTGTAGTTATTTCTAATAGCAAGAAGTAGGGAGAATAACCTATATGTGAGATAATTAAGAAATTTTTGGAATGCTTAAAGATATTCTTCACCCAAATTTATATTTTTATATGATAAATATTAAAAGTAAAGTAATATGAAAAACAGGATTGTTGAAATTTTTTAAAACATAAAACAATTTTATATCGTTACTTTCAGTAATATATAAATGTGTGAATGCATATGGGCAAAAATGCAAAAGAAAACTGGTGGATTGGTAAATTACTGAAGAGGTCTGTTTGTAACAGTTATAAAAAAACAATGTGTGTCTGTTAGATCAAATTTAATTTCTCTAGGAATAAATTCAAATTTTCAAGTTCTAATAACAATTAGAAAATATATTTTATTTTTAGTCTTCTCCAAAGATTAATTGGATAGGTCAGGACTTCTATCTTAATCAGGGAAATTAAAACTTGCATGTTTATATATGTATAACAAAAATTTTATACTTGTTATGCAGACATAGCAAATACATTTTATTTTCTTTTATTTTTGTGACTGGTAAGGGGATTGCAACCCTTGGCTTGGTGTCGCCTGCACCACACTCAGCCAGTGAGTGCACTGGCCATCCCTATATAAGATCCGAACCAGCAGCGAGAGCGCCGCTGCGCTCCCAGCGCCGCACTCTCCCGAGTGAGCCACAGGGTCGGCCCGCAAATACATTTTAATATAGTGATTGTCCTAATCAGAACAGAAATACTTATGTAAATATTTGAATTTTTAATACATGACTAAAAAAGAACACTGAGACTGAGTTTTCTAATTAATTTATTATGAGAATTTTTGGATATTAGACTGTTTGGTCTTTAACCACATATGTAAAGAGATGGACTATTTTGATATAATTATTCATAATACAGTGTGTTAGAATTGATACCCAAGTTTTGCCTAAGAAAATCTTATGATATAGTAATATATTTTTGTGGTAGAATTTAACGCTGTGTCTCCATATGCATTAAGTAAAATAAGTAAATTTAGATTTATTATATGAGAAAATGTTTTTATATGTAATTATGCTTAAATTTTCAGCCTTCATTTCATTGTCCTTTCACTCTGTGCCATGGAATTTCATATACTGAGCTTCTCTCTCTATTATCAGCCAATTTTTAAAAAATTACGGTGATGGTATAAGTTGTTTTTCTGTTTTTGTCATTGTTGTAGATTTCCTCTTTTGATTTCCCTTTTTTCTAAAGTTTAGTGCTATCATAGTCTGCTTGACTCAAAAGCTTAATATAAAAGCATTTGCAAAAAAATTTTTTTTTTGCTTTTACCACTTGGGTGTTGATTTTTAATAGAATCAGAAGAGAAATTCCTCAGTGTTTGTTTTACTTACATACTGTTATTTTCAATGACAAATTCCTACTTTAGATTTAATGACATATTTATTAGGTCTTTTCGTTTTAACATGGAGTGGTGTTTGATTCTGTGTTTTATTTTTTTTTTTTTTTTTTTTTTTGGACATTTGGTGTTGACTGTGATATTTAATGCTCTTCAGTGCTATTTTAGTCACAAATAGTAGCTCTAGAAGAATAACAATTCTTTAAAATATGGATTTACACTATTCATGGGCATTGGTTCCAGGACCTCCTGCAGTAACCAAAATCCATGGATGCTCAATTCTTTGTTACAAAATGACATTATTATTTGAATAGAACCTATGCACATCCTCCCAGATACTTTAAAATTATGTCTAGATTACTTATAATACCTAATAGAATGTAAATGCGGTGTAAATAGTTAATGTACTGTATTGTTTAGGGAATAATGACAAGGAAAAAAGTCTGTACATGTTCAGATGCCGGGGTTTTTTTGAATATTTTTTATCTGCTGTTGTTGAATTCAGGGATGTGGAACGTCCAGATATGGAGGACAGACTTTATTTACTTCCTGCAGCTTTTGAAGAGGGTGAAGAAATTCTGTGGCTTTCCATACAGTGTTAATTTTGGATATTTAACGGATCTCTGTTTTGAAGCTTTATTTCTTCATTGTATTCTTTAATCATTTGTGTGTAGTTGTGGATTCAGGAATTCCTTTTTTTCTACTGCTTCTCATTTGTATTATCCTTTCATTACCTTCTAAAACTAGGAAAAGTGACTATGCTTAATATAAAATCC